GAGAGAGAGAGAGAGCCAGAAAGAAGGGTAGGGCTTGTATGCAGGTTTTCCATAGTCTGTTAAATAGAACTGAATATTATAACGCTCTCCTGCAATGTAACTTTCCATGGTTGTTGGCTTTTAATGCTAAATAGAGTTCAAAGTCCAGATTCTTATTTGCTTTAAGATATTAATAAGACACTGTGCAGCCAGAATGGCTGTATTATAGAACGACATACATTACTCATCAATGTATATAATTTGTCATGCATTAGTAGATGAAAAATATCTGATTAGTTTTCAGAATAAATGCATAACAGTTGATTTTTATTTCTGCTGCAGTATGCTCTCCCCAGGCTTAAAAGCATTAAACTATTCCCTTGTTTACTAGCTGTTATAATTCTGACAGCAGGGATTGGCAACTTCCTACAGGTTCAGGGTTTAACTTCACCAGACTGTGGTGGCTTTTAAGAATAGAAATGGGACCATTTTCCTCATGGGGATATTGCACTCCCATTTCTAATCTTAATCCAGCCCCTCCAAGGCGGGGTGGTGGTGGAAGGGAGGGAGCAAATGAGGACACATGTGTGATTACATTCTCACATAAATGACATAACTTGGCACTTGTATCAGACGTTGTGACACATGTATGTAAGTGCAGCATTTGCCCTATGATATCATCACAGTCTGTTACAGGCACCTCCACCTGTAAATCAGACAAAAATTGCACTGCCCCACATCTTGCTGCAAAATTTTGACGGCACAACCTTTGATGCTTCAGGGGCCATATGCCATCCATAGGTTTCCTGACCCTATTGTATGTATAGTTTGTCCCCTTGCATTTTCTGGAATGATTTTCTTGCCCCCCCAAACTATGGAATACTGAATTATAAACTTTCCACTCTGTCTTTCAACAAACATTACTGAAGATTTATCAGAAATATTAAGATGATTCCCACTGTTCTCTAATTCCTGCTGAAGCCACTTCTGCTGGGAAATGGTTTAAAATGGTTAATTAAAAGGGGATAATAGAAGTGAATTTAGTATTCATTGGGAACAAACATGTACAAAACACTTTAGTCTTGGTTCACTCTTTTTTTTCTTGTGCAAGTAAGTGGATCGAAAGGTTTTCAAATGATTACATACAGGTGAAACTCGAAAAATTAGAATATCGTGCAAATGTTCATTTATGTCAGTAAGGGAACTCAAAAGGTGAAACCAATATATGAGATAGACGCATTACATGCAAAGCGAGATATGTCAGGCCTTATTTAGGTATAATTGCGATGATTATGGCGTACAGCTTATGAAAACCTGATTACATACAGGTGAAACTCGAAAAATTAGAATATCGTGCAAATGTTCATTTATGTCAGTAAGGGAACTCAAAAGGTGAAACCAATATATGAGATAGACGCATTACATGCAAAGCGAGATATGTCAGGCCTTAT